ACCTGGAGCCACCAGGGACAGGAGGGACACGGGATGGGCGGGAGCGGACCTGGATCCACCCAGTGCCAGCAGGCTGCCACGGGGCGGCCAAAGTGCGAGGCAGGTGTGACAAAAGGCAGCCACGGACAGGTAGGTCTGTGCCAACCCGGTGGGCACGGGGGGTGCTGGGGTTAGGAACGAGCTGTGGCCTCGGAAACAAGGTGTGTCACGGCTTGTGCCACCACTCTCTGCCATCCCTCTCTTCTCCACCCGAGGACCATGGGGCTCCGCAGTGTGACCATCCTGCTGGGCACGGCCCTGCTCCTGCTGGCACCCGGCAGCACCCAGGTGAGCCCTGCCTCCCCTGCCCTCCTGCTGTCCCCTCTGCTGAGGGCACCCACGTGTGACCCGTGCCACCCCTCGGGACCCCCTTTGTCTCTCTCCCCACAGGCTCTGAGCAGCTCCTGGTGGAAGGACCTGGCCACAGTGCAGGATCTGGCTGAGGAAAGGTAAGGGGTACTCACATCTGGCTTGCCAAAACAAATAATGGGAAAGTGTTTCAGGAGGGAATCAATTGTTGCTTTGTGTCCCCCAAAATGAAGGGAATCCCAGCTCCATCTCCCTCCCCAAGTTATGCAAACTCTCTGACCATCCTGCTGGTTTCTCTATTCCTTTTGTGAAACAAATATTTAAGTTTGCACCCTGAGATCCTAACTGGTGCTTCCTGGGCTGTGGGCAACCTCACCAGAGTCCCTGCACTCCACTGTGGTGGGATTCTCCTGGCACAGGGAGGTATTTGGCAACCTCTCCTTGATTTTGTTCTCTCTTCCAGCATCCTGGGTGTGGGAACACCAGAGGAGGGTGAACCAGGTATAAAGGTCTTCTCCAGCAGTGCTTGGGCTCAGAGGGGCCCACCCCAAGGCCAGGCAAGGCTAGAAGAGGATGGTGACCATCAGTACCAGCCCCAGGACGATGCCAGGGAGACCCGTGTGCCATTCTGGATGCCAGTTCCAGAGGTGCAGAATGGCCCAGAGGAGGATCGTGACCACCTGTACCACCCCCAGGACAATGCCAGGGAGGTCAATGCCCGTGTGCCATTCCGGATGATCGCCCCAAAGGTGCAGAATGGCCCGGAGGAGGATCTTGACTACATCCACCATGGCTGAGTGGAGGTGTGCCTGGGCTGTGAGATGAGGGGTGGGAGCTGCCCCTGGGGTTTCCTGGGGAAATTTGTCTCTCTACCAAGCCTTGAGCCCCACCAATAAACCCATCCCTTCTCCACAACCTGGTGGGCTCCTCATTACTGCCAGAAACCTGCTGGGGCCTCCAAACCTGTAGGAACTCCCTCAGGGTTACCCCAAGGCGCCAGGCAGGGTGAGGATATGCCCTAGGACAGAAGACTCAGCCCATCATCCCAATTCAGGTGAGGTTGAGACAAACTCAGCACATTGGTTGTGCCCCAGAAGGTGCCACAGGCTGGGGAACACCCAGCCCTATGCTCCACAAGGCTGCTCATGCCCAGCCCATCACGGAGAGCAGTGAGGGAGCATGGGGGGGCTCAGTGAACCCCAACATTTCCCAGCCAAGGCAGGACCTCGCAGCAAGGATGCCCCATGTCCCAGCAGCACCTAGAAAACCCTTTAATAGTGAAGGCCGAGGTGGTCCCCACTGCTGGCTGTCACCCCGAGCATGGCTCGCTGACGGGTCCCGGTCCCCTGTGGGGACCTGCACCACCCCAGGGACCTGCAGCTGCCTGGCTCAGCTGTCGGTGAACTTGGCCTTGCGCTTCTCCACGAATGCCGTCATCCCCTCCTCGCGGTCATTCTGGGACAAGCAGAGAGGGAAGGTGACAGTGAGCCTCGGGGGGGGCTGCAGTGACCCTGCTGTCCCTCATGCCACGAGGGATGCCTGTTATCCCTCATCCCCCTACTCACGGTGGCAAAGGTGGCGTAGAAGAGGCGCTTCTCTGTCCTGTTCCCCTCTGTCAGCGTTGTTTCGAAGGCTGAAAGCAAGGGAGAAGTTGGGGAGACCCCTCTGCCTGGTGCTGCAGCCCCCCCAGGGGGTTCCCAGTCAGCCCCCAGCCCCTACCAGCATTGACTGACTCCTTTGCCATGGCAGCCACCAGCTTGGAGTTCCTGGCGATCTTCTCAGCGCAGGCAATGGCTGCGTCCAGCAGCTTGTCCACAGGGTAGACCTTGCTGACCAGACCTAGGATGGGCAGTGGGACGTGGGGGGATGGCTCTCTGCCAGACCCCTGCAGTGCCAGGACTGTCACACAGCCCTACCTGCCTCCTTGGCCTCCTGTGCTGAAATCTGGTCCCCGGTGAGAACCATCTCCATTGCCAGCGACTTCCCCACTGCCCTGGTCAGCCTCTGCGTGCCGCCAGCACCTGGGGCATCGAGGGGAGAGGTTCAGAGAGGGCTCCCACCCCAGCTGGGATGGAGGCCTCTGGCAGGTGCTGCTGCTCACCTGGGATGGTTCCCAGCAGGATTTCGGGTTGCCCAAACTGCGCCTTCTCCCCGGCGTAGATGATGTCACACATCATGGCCAGCTCACAGCCGCCTCCCAGCTGGCATGGGGAGGCACAGATGGGTCAGGGGTGCCAGGGTGGGGACAGGGGGTGCAGGGAGGTGTGTGTAGGGCACTCACGGCATAGCCATTGACGGCAGCAATGATAGGTTTGCGGACCGTGGCGACCTTGTCCCAGCCGGCCAGGAAGCCACCGCGGTAGCACTGTTGGAAGGTTTTTTTCTGCATCTCCTTGATGTCTGCGCCAGCTGCAAAGGGAAGTGCAGTGGGACTCCAATCCCCTCCAAAACTCTGGGGTGAGCAGAGGCCACGGTCCTACCTGCGAAGGCTTTCTGGCTGCCGGTGAGGATGATGGCTCCCACGTTCGGGTCGCACTCCATGGCCTCCAGGGCCCGCCCCAGCTCCGCCATCAGT